AATAAGACCACCAAAATTTCATCTAATTCCTTTAATGCTTTGTCCTACATGGTATGAAATTAAGAATGTCGTAAAATGGATTATTTAATTAAAATGTCATTACTCCCTTAAAAGGTCTTCTTTCCATTCTTTTTAGCAGGTTTCACTTTTTCTTGAAGATTTTTGCAGGGAGGGGTTGTTTGTATATCAACTACTTAAATAATTAATTTTACCTACATCTCAATTTAGAACAGTCTCCTTCAGTACTACCTTTCTCACCAAATATTTTTAAAACTTTTCTCTTACACTCTTCAGCTGGTAATTAACTTATCTAAGATTCTGCTTGTTCCCGTTTCCATCCAAGTCTTCAACAGCTTTTTGTTAGGACTTTTTAAGTCTTGGGTACTTGGAAAAGTCTTTCAGGAAGCCACACTGCAGGAAGTGATCATTCTCTTCCAGAGGAACAATAGTCTCTTGCCCCATAAATATGCTGCTTTGTTCCACATTCATGGATGAACCCTTCCAGTGCATCATATTCCCTAGGTACTTCAATTCCCTCTCAACTCAGTTTCTTGAATTTTAATAACTATTTCTGTATTTTGTGAACCCTCTATGCTGAATTCAATTAACTTTTTACCATTGGGATAAAGTTTCTCATTACCATATTTTCCAGTCACTTCCTACAGGTACCTTTTCAGTTTTACACATTTATTCACTCAGGAGCACTTTGAAGATGTTATCACACCCCACTACTGATTTATTTTCCCCCACTTTTACCAAAAGGGAGACTCGAGCATTGCTAAGCTCTCTGGCAGAGATCAAACCCACCTACTTTCATATCACAGTTACAAGTATTTCTTTTATATTCCAAATGCAACCACAACTCAACATCTATGTGTTAGTAGTCCGAGCTTCTCTTGTTCGTTCACCATAGTCCTTGCATTCCTGCAGACGTATGTTCACATTCTTTTAAATACTAGGCAGGAAAATGAAGGAGGCTTTTGTTTATACAAAAACATATTTTATGCATCTGAGGTGTAGCTCAAAGCAGCCTCCTAACTGTATTCATTCTAATGCTACCAAACTGGTTTTGGCAGTAGTCTCTGATCTTGAATCCAACACAAGTACACATTACAGAATGACAAAAAAAACAGAGTTACCATGGAGTATATAATCAAAAATACGAAGCTATTACAGTTCATATAGCAAGTGACATACAAAGTCATTAACAGGGATCCTGTTTTTCTGTTTAAAAATTGCAAATTCTCCGATAAAAAACCCCAAATCTGCAAAGTGAAATCTCTCCCTCTCCCTATCAATTGAACGCAATGTTTTACAGATATATTTACAATTCTAAAGCAATTTGGAAAAATACCAGTGCCTCAAACACTATAATGAAACAAATTCTAAATACCTATAAATTCTGGTATTTGATTTTGGGACTTTTATCACAGAAGAAAAAAAAAAAAAAACAGAGCTCCCCCCGCCCCCTTCACTCACCAGGATGCAGGTCCAGGCCCCTCACTCCCAAGCTACAGCTCCCCAGCCCTTTCAGTGCCCCCTCAACTCCCTCCCCCCTGCCAGAGGGAGCTCTCAGCTGCCAGGGCTATGGAGCCAGAGACCCAGGTTCACAGCCCTCTGCCCCCACCACCCCTTCCACCAGTGCCTGAGTCCTGGCTGCCACCTGCGGGAGGTGGTAGCTACTGCGGTAGAGCAGACTGCAGAGCCCAGCTTCCCCATACTTGAGGGTAGTATGGCTAGAACAGAGCCCATGGGGGCAGGGGGGAAGGAGGAGGCTACGTAAGATGCCCACTGCAGGCTCAGGCTCTCCACCCTGCTGCCCTCCCCTGGGGGCTTCCATGGCACAGCGAGTGGGCCCAGTGCAGCAGAGCAGAGAGAAGCTGGGGAGGGAACCTCAGTGCCACTGCTGGGAGCTCTGCACCACCCTGGTGAGGTACTCCCTACCCGCCCAGCAGCAGGGTATGTGCCCCCCCACCCCTTGGTCAAAAGGGGGAAATTCTCGGGGGGGGGGGGTTCCTATTTTTTCATGGAAAACCTGGATCCCTGTTCATTAAAAGGTTTATTTAACATGCTATTGTCAAGCCAGGGACAGCATAGGCACTGGTATGCAGTTCTTAAATTACTGTAAGTTTCCCTGAATTCTGTCAAAGAAGGATCACCTATAAGATGACATTAAGGCAATCTCTATTATCAGTAATACATATTCTTGAGAGCCAAATTAGTGTAAACTGCGATGTATTATTTGATGTAGAAAAATTCCGCATTAAGAAATAGGCAGTTTCTGGTTTGTTTGGAACAAAATGGCAAAGCCATAATACAGCAAGACCAATAGTAGCTTTGGACTTGGACCAAACCTAAGCTAGCAATTAAAAAGGTAAGGCATATTAAGAATATGGCTCCACTTTTGACAAGGTTTAGATGAGATCACTGTAGTTACGATTCATAATAATGCTAAGAATCCATAAACTGCCACTATGAACTGTATGTCTCAAAAACAGAGCAAATACTGTGAAGTAGCATTATCTGAATATCAGCTCATTTACTTGTAAAATATGAATTAAACACAGAAATCTACTTACTCTTGAAATAAAGATCTAGTCATAAAAAAAATAAGTTTTCTATTTTATTATTATTTGCAGTTGCACATCTTCTAGACCACTATGTTTTTAGCTGCCAACCCTGTAAACTCAACTTGGAACCTTAGCTAAGTTCTTTTCAATTCCTATATAATCAAAAAATAGAAGTTCTGCAGTAAAGAACCCTGCTGTGTCATAAATCAGACCTGAATTTATCATCTCGCTGTTCTACAGCCATATTAGGTCTGCAACACTAGCAGCCAGAAAGCAAGCAGTGCAATCCTTTTTGCCACTAAAGTCAGCAGGTTTAACTTAATACACAAGTATGTTTAATGAATAGACAACGTTTTTGTTATGGTCAAGAACCATAATTAATCCACAACATATTTCTCATTGCAAGATCTACCCAGCCTTCCTTCTTAAACCTCCCTCTAGAATGTCCACAGCTCTGGCTAGTTACCGTAGGTATACCATGAGTGGTACTTTGCCTCCTTTTTCAAAGGATAGAAAAAGATTGTTATCATACAAGTTGTGCACAGCTAGAACCAGAAAATGTTACCAAACGTATCACTTGGTTTGTGCATGGGGCTCCAACCCCTTTGTTTATCATTGTGGCTAGAAAAGGTGTTTTGAGAATCAACTCTATATCCAGTTTCTTCTCTCCTGAACTCCTGAATCAAGTAGAATATGACAGTGTTGAAGGAGGTCAGGTAGTGGAATACACACAAAGAGATCATGCTTAAAAATTCCAGTTAATTAAAAGACACGTAACTTTTCTTCTTCAAATGTTTGTCCTTGTGTGCATTTAACTGCAGGAGATTCCTGAGCGGAAAGCTAAGGAAGTAGACAGGTGTTTGCAATCTTGTCACGTAGATTGAAGAAATACCCTGCCAAAAGAGGCATCCAATGGAAATGTATTAAAGCATAATGCACAGAATACCAGGCTACTGCCTTGCATGTCAATGACAGGCTTTTTAAAAGAAAGCAACTGAAGCTGCATAGGCCTTAGCTTTAATTCTTAAAAATCAGAAATAAGTATAATACAAAGAGAGATCCATTTCTGGGAGTATTTGGGTGCAGACTGCACCACCTTTCATTTTGCCAAAGATAAAAAAAACAGTCCTCTTAAATAGCTAATAAATAATTCCAGCTAATGTTATGCTGTTTAGGAAAATATGCAGTTAAGTAAATAGCTTGATTAAAATGGAACTGCAAGGCTATTTTGGGTAGAAATATCACGTGGTCTCAGTTTCATCATGATAAAAAATCCTGTGGGACACAAGTTGACCCAGTTCTCCCTCCTTTCTTAGGATTATAGGAAAGTACGGCTGGAAGGGAATTCATACGGTCACCTGACCATAGAGTAGACAACTTTTGCAGAGAAGTAAAGAAATACATAAGGAGGTTATAATACCACCAAGGGATTTTGTGTAGCCTGTTGTGAAACCCTTGGCCTTGCCCAGCCCAGGTGCAGGAGGCAGCCCAGGCTATGGTACATGCAGCCAGTCCTAGCATCCCTGAGCATGCAGCGGGGTTGGGGCACTGCAGCAGCCATACTCACTTCCCAGCAGCCCCAGCGGTGGCAGCTCCTTCCTGGTGCTGCTGCCAGTCTCTGCCACTGCCAGACCCACTGCTAGCCCCTGCTACCAGTCCCCACAGCTGCTGCTGCCCTGTCACTTCAGCCAATTTACTCCACAGCCACTGCTGGGGACACTGGATGGGGCAGGCAGATGGAGACACCAGGGAAACTGGCTGGGAGCTGCCCAGGCTGGTCATGCAGTGGGTTGGATGGGATGGGCCCATGGGCAGGTGGGGAGTGGCATCCAGCAGCAGGATTGGTGGGCAGGTCTGGGATTGCAGGGCAGTGACAAGGCAGAACAGAAGCAGAACAGTTCGGAAAGATACCTTAGAAAAATGTTGCATTTTTAAAAAGATAAATATTACAAAAAGTTAAGTAATTTAAAGTTAAGGTTACATATCAAATAGTTAATTAAAAGTAAACAATTAAGATAAAAAATCCTTGTCCATGAAGAATATTATATTCTTGTCCATCCATATTATATTTCTTAAAATAAGTGGACTGGTTTCCTCAGTATTCAAATGAATTACTTTTTTTTCCCCCCCAATGTTTCTTCTGTCTGTACATAAGAACACTAATGAAGTTAAACAGCTTTACACTTGAGGAAATGGTTGTTAAATTAAATAGACTTAACTGTCAATATCAGGCTATATTTTAAAAAAAACAAAAACCTAGTTTTAAATCATCACCTACTGACAAATACTATAGCAGTGTATATATTTCCTTCTTTCATGAACTTCTTTCCTAGAAAAGTTGGATTAGATTGATTTTATATAGTAAGGCATTGCAAATCCACAAAATTGAAAAAAAAATACTTTTATAGTAAAAAGAAAGTTACAACTTACTCTTCTGTTATGGCTTCATGATTTGTGAAGCTGAAGTTGGGCAACGGATCTTCAGTTTTAGGAGTCTGGTGAACGTTAAAGGCTGCTGGGGTCTTAGAGGCAAGAAGTGCTCTTTTCTCATCTTTTTCAAGTGCCTTCTTTTTTCCACCATTTTGAAAATATTCTCTGCACACGCTAAAAAAAAAACAACTCCCAAAAGTTATTTTAGTGTATTTGATGCAATTTGATGAAACTGAGCTATAATTGAGACTAAAAGGTACTTGAATTTTCAT